AATATCATAGGCTTCGTCTTGGATAGATTGGAACATCTTACAGTTATTTGGCAATTTGTTACTTTGCACCATTATTCATACAGATCAACTTCACAAGCACTTGCGATCAAAGTTAACCATTCCATCGGTTCATATGAAATGTTTTCAAATATCAATACAAACTTGAAGTTTTTCTTGTTGGAGACTTCAATGGTCGCATACGTTCTGTTCAATTTACTCAATTTGATGGTTCCTTGTCTTCTATCTCTTTTGAAGAAAATAGAGATAGTTTGTGGTCTAAAATATCTTGTGATACTTCTACAAATGATCCGAGCATTTCTTGACTTTTGAAACCATATGTAATCTGAAAGTTCTAAATGATATTTCTTTCTTTCCCAACTCCCACTCCAATACATGTTTTTACCAGCGCTAGCACTATTGATTATATTTTGTCCTCTGTCAGTAATAGTTCATTTATCTCAACATTTGATATTCTAGAATCTCAACAAACTTGGATCATACACCTCTTTTATTTACTCTTTTGTTGTCAAAGTCAATTTCTCTCTACATGTCAATATGTTTATATTTCCCCTGGTTTTGTTTAGATACTAGTAAGAAGCAACTTTATAATCAACATTTACAAGACCTCTTGACTCTTACTACTTGGAACCTTGATCCATATACATCTAGTTTGCAACTAACTGATATGCTCAAAAACTCTGCTTCTAAGTTTTTTTTTGAGACATACAAACAGGAGAGCAAGAGGTCTTCCTTGCCATGCCATGGTAGGCTTGATTTTGATTGCAAGCAAGCAAGGGCAAGATTAGTTGATAAATCCTTGGATCTTCACAATCGGCTTATTATGACAAGACTTTACAAAGACTTGATGAAGTCTTGAAAATGAGCTTTTTTGAGGCGGAATCAAGAGTGCGTGACAAAGGAGCTGTTGGAGAATTCCAAATCTTTTTGGAGTTGGTTGGCAGTACAATCTTTCAAACCTACTCTTGATTCCAAGTCTTTGGATTCTTTTGATGAAAAGTTTTATTTTTTCCCAATGTTGCATTAATGTCACGTTGTGAAGTAAAACTTGACTTATTTTCTAAAGCTGAAGTGATGATTCAACTTAGAAAATTGGTAAATAATAAATGTGAGGATTTGGATGTTCTCTCAATTGAACTTCTCAAGTGGGAAGGCGATGTTATTGAGCCTATATTCATTAAAATGTTGAAGAATGTTGCTCTCTATGGCTTTCCTTCAACTTGGTCTTTACGGAAGATTGTTCATATTCACAAATCTGGGAGCAAGGCCTTGGTGACAAACTATCAGACTATCATGGTGGGAAGTATTTTTGCCAAGTTATTTAACAAATTGATGAAGTTTAAGTTGGGCACATGGGTTGAATCTGATCACAAGAGAGCGCGGTTTCAAGCTGGTTTTCGTCATACATTCAACACTATAGAACATATCTTGGTTGTGCGTGTTTTATGGTAGAAATCCAAGGGTAATGAAAAAACTTTATTTTGTGCCCTCATTGATTTCAAGAAAGCTTTTGACATAGTACCTTGTGAGCTTTTATAAGAAATATTGCAAATCATTGGAGTAACATCAAATCTCGTAGTAGTAGTGGTCACATTATACCACTGGGTTTGGGCCAAGATCGATACTTCCCAAACCAAAGAAATTTTGAGTACCATTAAAGTCATTCAAGGTTGTACTCTCTCCTACTCTCTTTGGATTTTTCATAGATGATATAGAAATGGAGTGTGAAAGTGAAGGTGTCAAACTTGGAGGCTTCGTCATGAAAGCTCTTTTGTATGCAAATGATGTCATACTACTAGCACTGTGAAAGTGAAGGTGTCAAACTTGGAGGCTTTGCCATCAAAGCTCTTTTGTATGCAAATGATGTCATACTACTAGCACTGTGAAAGTGAAGGTGTCAAACTTGGAGGCTTTGTCATCAAAGCTCTTTTGTATACAAATGATGTCATACTACTAGCACGTGATGCCATTAGTTTACAAAAACACCTTGACACTTCGGTTAGCTTTTGTACTCAAAATTAGATGGATGTCAATTTGGAGAGGTCAGAAGTTATTCTTGTGGGCACTAGATCCAAGCTTTATTTCTCTTACAAATCATTAGAGTTGGAACAAGTGAAGAGTTATAAATATTTAGGCATTGATTTCTCATACGATTATAGTTGGACACTTTGTGTGCAAAAGAGGTTAAATGCTGGTTTCAAAGCTCTATATTCATTGCTAAATAAATGTAGAGGAGCTCATCTAATGTCTTATAGTCTTAGGACATTTTTATTCAGGAGCTTAGTGTTTCCCGTTATCTTATATGGAATACAAGTGTGGGATCCTGGTTGTAAGTAGACAAGTTTGCAGCATTTGAAGAGTATGCAAAAGATCTTTTTACAAGAAGAATTGGGTGTGATAACCCAAACTTCATATGTTATTTTTCTTGCGGAGGTTGTCTACCCCTTGAGTTTGAAGCTCTCTTCTTGATTATCACTTACGTCAAAAGAATGAGATATCTTGATGCTTCTCGACTTCCTCTTGAAGCTTTGTGTGCCACACTTCATAATGAATGGTTTGCGGATGTGGTGACTTGGTCTTTGAGATGGAATGTAACGAACATTGGGATTTGCAACCTATGACCCTTTGCAAGCGTATGAAGAAAGAATTTCTTAACATTATTTGAAGTAGACGAGACACTAAAATGAAATTCTATCAACTTCATGTGAATCCTATGCTTGTTTATTTTGAGCAAGTATATTTACTTGGGGAGATCGTTACATTTTTACGTCATATTATTGCTACGCATTGAATAGTATCTCATGGTCTTGGGACTAAAGAAAAGAGTTGGTTGAATTATAAGACCGGGTGTTGCACATTGTACTTAGTCTTAGAAGTGGTCAAGTGATCAAGGATGATTAGCCAAGGGATAGTTAAGTCTAGCTAGTTATGACTAAACTAGTTACTTATAACTAAGTTTATATAGTCATAACTAATTTTAGCTACAATGTCTATAATTTGCGGAATGATTAGCTGAGTTTTAGAAGAATGGAGTGAGCACTTCTATTTTGTCTTTTACAAAGGGTGAGCACTTCTATTTTGTCCTATACAAAAGTCCTAGATTCTAAGGGATTATATATTTAACTAAAAGCTTGGATTTGATTGGTTAGACTAAAATGTATGAAATATGATTGGCTAGACTAAGTCTAGTGTTGACTTAGTGCCTAAGAAGCTTGTAGAAGTTTAAAGCTTCCAATGGCATGTCGCCACCTCAACCTTGGATTCCGGAAACTTCCAGAAGGTTTAGCTAGGCCAATGACATGTTGCCACATAGAGAGGGTTAATCAAATTTACCTAAGTAAAAGTAAGTTAGGAGAAATGTTACTATGTTACTATGGTAACTTCTCAAGTAGTATAAATAGAGAGGTGGAGTACCATTTCTCAAGCAAGTTTGGAGAGTCATGTGTGAGTTCTTGTTTCAGAAATGAAGTAGTGAAGATTTTGAGTATCTTGAAGTATCGACGTGTGTTTACGTTTATATGAAAAGAGTGATGGGAGTAGAGTTTGTGTGTGAGTTTGAGTGATACATGGAAAATTTGTGTGCGAGTTGGAATGATACATGGAAAATTTGTGTGCGAGTTGGAATGATACATGGAAAATTTGTGTGCGAGTTGTAGTGATACATGGAGAATTTGAGAGAAAAATTGTTTGGTACATGAGTGTGAGGATAAATCTTAGTCTTATAAAACCATGATACGTTACCGCAAAGACATCAGAAATAAATTTGAGTGAGAATCAGCCCTAAGGTTGCAGAACTTTGATAGGAATAAACATATTTATAAGTTATATGATGGAAAAAAATTGAGTATAAAGATCACTTGTTTATTATTTGTACTAGATATATTGAAATTAGATTGGTTCATAAGTTTGTTGTTGAAAATTTTTATTTTTTACTATAGTTTAAACCTTATGATTTAGATTGTTTTATGAATAATGTTTTATTAATTTTCGTTTTAATATTTTAAACATTAGCTAGGAGTTTTTTTTATTTTTTTTCTGATTTGCAATTTGATTGTTTTATATTGTATCTTTTTAGCGTTTTAGTCCTTTGGGTCACATCTTTGATATATTTACCATTTACATATAAAATGTATATATTATAAAATTTAAAAAAAATCTATATACTATTTTATTGATCATTTGTAAAAAAAAAAAAGATTGAAAAAAATTGTATGTATGAATTTTGGTATCCAGTTTGATGTTTCTACAAAAGAAAAACATATTGAAGTACTTTAAATATATATTTTACTTGTGAATGATGACTTGAAACAAATTGGAAACCTTCGCAAATATCAATAGCTCCAAAAAAATAATTGAGACTCAAATTTCCATCTCAGAGTATCAAGTCCACATTAACTTCAAACTAATGAAAGAGACACTTACGAAACTTGAAGTTTGCCAATATGTTCCAGATTTCTGATCATAATACTCTCACCATTCTGGATTCTCCCTTTTGCAAATGTGTAATCACATCTATCATACACGCAATTTGGACAGATTACCCCTGACTACATTTCCTTGACATACAAATGAGGTTGACATCGCTGCAACTAAATCCATCCGGAATATTTAAAATCAAATTTCTGGATGGGTTTACTCGGATTTTTCCGGCTTCAAGAGAAAATGACCGCGGATGCAATATCCTTATCCTCATGTCCGCGCACAGAGCACAAGTACCATCCTCGGATTCGAGGATGGTACTTGTGTGATGGACGTGTCTGTACAGTATATGTACGTTCCTCGTATTCCAAAAATTCTCGAGTCAAACAGGCATAAACCGTGCACATATTCCAACCGTACACAGAATGGATATACAAGACAACCTGTTTGATGTCGGTATGGGCGAGACACCAGGCACGGCTTGGGGAGAAATTCAAGAGCATTAATGTGGAATCTGAGACAAATATTTCCCCTTCGCAGAGCAGGCCATTACACTTTTGACTAGATTCAACAGTAATACTTTGGACAAATTTTCTCAAAGATGCGTGTACATTGTCAGCTTGCCTCATTCTACCCAACGACATCTATTGCGAGTCTGAAATTCAGCACATGCAGCAACTAATCCCACTTGTGTGGCTGATCCCTTCATCTGATACCAATGACAAACTGTATCTTGGCCCTTCATTATCATCGGGAAATAGGCGGGTATTGATAGAAAGATTGGACGCACGCTGAACCTACTACTTGAGAGTCCTTTTGGACGTGCATCCCTATTGCCATTTAAGCCTACAAGCAAATGGGAGCTACAAAACGACGTCCAGAAGAAATCCTCACAATGCACAAACACTAAATTTGTCCTTTTATCGGTTCCCTTCTTTGACTGTCATTGCAGCATAACGTTGACTCGTTCCTATATATGAACACAGACAACAAACTTGGCAAATTATCCCCAAAGAATAAAGGCACATAAGCAACATGGAAAAAGAAAGGACCTTAACCAAATAATCGTTGTCTTGAAAGTTAATCACTTCGAACATCCGAAAAGGTGAGTAACCCTCACCTAAAGTAGGAGTCAACTGATCATCCATATGTACCACTTGCAGCCATTTCATGGATTTGCCTGTCATTGAACCAACACATTTGTAAGTAGCTAAATTATTTACTTCCACTCATATGAAGTCTTTGGTACTTGTAACCGCAACCATCGCCCTGCGAGCGGAGGTTATTTCCTACTTTCCCACGAATAAATGCATCAATACATTCTTGATGTGTTTCTCCTCTTGGGATCTTGACGGTTAATATGAAGTCGTTTTTTTCTTCCCTCATCCTATTTCTTTTACATCAGTGGTAGATCAGCAATAGATAGAACAATCACCCTCCGAGGGGAAATCGAGTGACAGACTACTTTGACGTAAGAAAAAACGAAAACGTAGCTTGCAAACTCATTCACACTCGTTCGTCGGATGGGGGATGCAGAGTTGAAGTAAAAGATGATGAACAACAAGAAAGTGTAGACAGGCAGGAATCTCATGTGAAAATTTCCAATTACTCATCATTCCTGAAAAAGCCCGTATCCACAGCAAACCAATTCTCCAATCTCCTAATGGCCTTCGGATAGGTTACGATCATGAAAAGGTCGTAAGTCACGATCCCAATTTTGACGCATGCAAACAACCTAGCCTTCCGACCAATGCATATGAGATAATAAGACTAATCAGAAGTCATATATTACCTTCTTGTTCTTGATCGAAGGGACAATACGAGCCTATCCACTCCTCCTTGGATCCAGATCCAACTTTCCGATGAAGTCAGACAACCTGCATTCGGTACAATCGATGATAAGTTTCCAAAAACAACAACCGCATAGTCATGGAAAATAAGGAGCACTAACACATCGGTTCCAAGACCTGGGAGATTAAACCATCACACCTGAAAGATCTTGATGGCTGGAGCTAGAAAATCACCTCTATATCTTCCAACTAAAAAGGTTTCCTTCTATACACTCCAATTGGACATCGACTGCATAGTTATTAGAAATGTTCCCTCCAACTATGCATCTCTTCCCTACAAGTTTAGAGAATAAAAGCCTAGAGTAGAGTAGGTAATTCAGGTTAAGAAACGATAACACACCTAATATTTTTTGTTATAACAGCACTGCCATCTGCCGCGCCTAAGTGACGGAGCTTTATCTCTTCCAATCGACCGTCTTTGTAAGCATGCTGCAAAATGAACAAGTCAATTGAGTTTGTAATTGTCTCTGTGAAGCAAGGTCAAGAGGGAATCTAGCAATGAGAGTGGAAAAGACTCAAATGCACTACTCCAAATTACAAGTCAACCTCTTAGTTGACTTGTAATTTGGAGCACATATGTTGAGCATGAGTGCAACTTTCAAGCACAAACTGATACATGTGTTGCTCAAGTGGGAACAAATCCGTGGAATATTTGAATACCTTGTAGAAGCAGCTGGTACCGAAGGGACAATTACCATTTCCTTGGTCGAAATACCGGCAGTCCAACGAGCTGGTTCACAAACAGACAAGCAATTTCAGTAAATGGGCTACAGTTGATATATTTGACTGCTTATAACCAAAAGGGTTCAATTCTCTCGATTCACATTAGAGACTTGACAGAGAAACAGATTCGGAGTAAGGCCCAACCACCATTTACCTTAGTTTCTTCTTGTATCCGTTAACTATCTCCGCTTTCTCGTCTGGACTTGAAAACCATGTCAGGCTTGGTATGACATAGTGTGAGACGGTTCGGCAGACAGGACAACCGCGAATAATGGTTTTCAAATCCATTCCCGGTGGATGAGAACCGTTGCGCCAAGAACGTACACATGATATACAGAATGGATGATCGCAGCCTGAAAGAATTCCAAATTTGCGTTCCGCAAGAGCAGGCTTTGAGAGAACTCGTTCCAGACAAACTACGCATTCAATGTCTTGGCTTATAAGCATGGCTTCCAATCGCTTCCTATTCTGTGCGCATACTCTGAGGTGCTCTTCTCTTTCTTCTGCTCTCAACGGATGGAGACAATTCTTGCCACAAGTGGGACAGAGGTCCCCATGTACATGCGTGCATGCAGACCCACGAGTACATGAGCCAGTTAATCCAAGTGTACAGATAGGCTCGTCTGCCGGATCATCCTCATGCAAGAGCCTAGCCACTTCAATCTCCTGCTCGATGGAATAAAGTTCATCGTCTAAAGTCTTGGGTGTGTTCTGCCATCTAGATGACGGAGATGAACTAGTGCTAGAGAACTTCCCGCTACCTTCGCCATGGTAAGAGTTTGCTAGTGACGGTAAACCTGCAGGTATGACGCTGGGACTCTTGATTGTAATCGGGTTGCTCGCAGCAACAGGCGTGCTCGCAGCAGGAGAAACTTTTGAAGTTGATGATAACCCCTTTGATGAACCACCAAGAGATACGGATTTCCTTACTGATACAGGGCTGATGACGGGAGTAGAGGCACTCCCTGCAGGACTGCTGGATGCAGAAGCAATCGTACCCGCTTTCAATACTTTCGCCATTGCAGAGGCCACTTTTGGATTCTGAACCTTGACGTGTTCGTACCTACACTTGCTTCCATATGAGCAGTAACCCCGCTGATAATAAATGCAGACCTGATGAACCCACATTTAAGTATTGCATTTGGTATCACGCCCTCAAACACAGCCATATCATTTACAGTTTACTTTTCTGAAAAAAATATCACGACAAGTATCATGAATGATGGTGATCCTCTTCTACCTCACAAAGCATTGGAACTACTTGCAAGATGATAGCATTAATCATAGTATTTCTGTGGGCCGCACAGCGTACAACATTGCGATCAATTATGAAGTCTGGATATAAGTGAGAACTCTGCCCAGGAGGGCGAGATAAATACATTGCTTGCAGGATCATCCCAATTATGTGAAAATTCACAGCTTTCCCCTTTGTAGCATGCTCCGTGCATGAAGTACTTGCACAGCACCCTGTAAGAACCAAAATGGAAGTGTAAGTACTGACGGATTCTGCCAGTCGAAAGGCTTAGAGGATATATTACTTTCTTGAACCCTTTCGTGGATCATGGTTACAGAAGCAAAGCTACGACTGATCCTACAAATGAAGGTTGTCAGCAAAAAGTTGAAAATATGTTCAAATTGGGGTGTTTATACCATTGCAGTCATCAGTTTTATCAAGCTAGGGTCTCGTAATGTCAAGGGTTTCTTTTCTTGTTGCGCATCACCAAAGAGGTTGATCAATTTGGCCGAATAGGATCGAAGGTAAAACTTGTCTAATGATGACCACATTGCATTGACTTAGGATTAGGAGTTGAATATAACTTCATATATTCATTGCTATAATTCCTGAGTGTCCAAAGGGATTGATGACCTCACTGATGAACGACTAGCATAGAATAGGCTCACTTGCTGATTCATCAAGTAGCAACGCGTAAGAGCCAACTTAGGTTAGGATTTGGTGCCTTAGTTAGGGAGTAAAGGAAAGAGAACAGACTCACTTGCTGGTCCATACCATCGCAAGCAGGAAGATCGTGTCTATATGATAGGAAGAGGTCGAAATAGGTGTGTTGTCAGAAACGCATAGTCGACAAACAAACCAGATATCAGTCTGATCACCATACTCGAGAGAAGATCGTTCCTCCAGAGGAAGGAAATATAGTGGCAGGGGACAAGTTCGCACCTCTCCAAAAAATGTCCCAAATTTAGATTTAATCATCAACCTTTCTATTAGATAGGTCTACCGATTAAAGTCTTGTGAATCAAAAGATCTGGAACTTAAAGGGATACTGGAAGGTGCAAATCTGGTTAAAAACGTCACAAGTTTGAAAACTATCATCAACAGGATAAACAATTGTACCTTCAGAATTCTCTCATGCTCTAAGTATGCAAAACGCTTCAATAACGACAGAGCAGGGCTGCTCCAGAGTATCCATGCTGCTCCAGATAATCCTGTTCACTGTATGTTATATAACGCCCATTTCACACAAGAAAAGCCGTTTGAGGTCGACAATATTCCACAGGAACCTATTGATTATGGATCTTAATCAGTGACGCGTTAGGGTGCTCGACGTCACGTGCCACATGGTAACTGACATTGAGACGGGAGAGGTTTGACTCAAAACCCTGGCCTCCAGAAGCCAAGAGCCCAATCTCTGAACCACTACAGTTCATATGCATGATTGTGAGTTATGACGTTCAATATGATCATTAGGTCTTGAAAACAAAGCGTGTGATGAAACTCAGAAAAATACTGAACGAACGAAAGGTGTTAGATTAGAAGCTTAGAAGATTTCAACAGGTAGTTACAGCTATAATGGAGTTACAACGGAGATACATTGATTATATACAGACTTGAACTATGAAGCGTACATATTTAAACGTATCAGATTAAGTTCCTCCTAAAAAGGCTTAAAAAACTTAATTACATTAAATCTCCTCTTGATCCTTGTTTTGACGACGAAGTCCTACATTCCCATGCACACATATTCCGTGTGCGGTTTTAGGAATGCACAAGTACACTTCACTCTGTACGTGATTCATAGAGTACAAACGAGACATTTCTTGTTACCGCGGTCTCGACAACCTCCAATTCCAACAGGAACTCACCGACGTCGTCACGTGACGTCACGAATCATGTGAGTTGACTGATGTACGGCAGTGTACAGCTTGAGAAAAATGAAGAGTCTCTTTATCTAGCTAATCCTGCGACTTCCGAGCTCAATCGGACATCTCGCATAATCTAAGCTCGATAGTATTAGACATTCGATGTACCACAAATAGTGGTAACTTAACGTGATGCGGGATATCAGAGTTGGTAAGGGTTTTCCGTGCAGCTCGAATTGAACTGAATTCCCTAACCGGCAAATCCCAAATATACTGACTCTAAGTTCCAAAGTTCACTAAGTTTGAAGGCTGGTTTACGACATGAAATCGTGCGGAGTGAATCGAACAGAAGAAAAAGATCAATCTTGCGCGCTGCCATGACGACATGCGACGATGTCATGTCCGACAACAATTCTCAAACTCTTACGGGCAGGTAACCGGGGGAGGAGCCTACCTGCTGCGCTGCGCCATTCTTGCAGTCCCGCTGCCAGTCGGCAATCATCAATACTGCCAAGAGCAGACTCGACGGTGAATCGCAGAATCTTCGACAAAACAGAGTTTACAGAGTATCAAAAACGCATTAGCAAAAGAGAATTACAGAGCGCCTGCCGCAAGATCCTCCACCGGCGATCCAAACACAGCAAACCCGCTCCCTGTCTATTTACTCCCCCTGTCCCAGACGACAAATTAAACTCCCCGCGGCAGCTGCCATTCCTATAAAACTCCCCGCCACTCCAAGCAGAAACAGATCCACTTCTCTCCCTCCTCCTCCTGCGCAGCCTCTCCTCTGCCTCAGCCTTTGGCCCCTAAACATGGAACGAAAGCATGTCTCTACAGATGATGTGCCGTGGTGCGGCAGCCCTGCCAAGCCAAGCGAATCCCTGCCCTGCCCTGTCCAAGCTCCCAGCACAATGAACGGGTCACATCCGATCTAACTCGAACGCAGACCTGAGAGCACCAAAACGAGGACAACAAAAAAAACAAACACGAATGTGAGCTGGAATCCGCCACTCCCTGACCCCAATGAAAGAAAATGTGGCTTTCAGCTGGGACGGTGGTGATGTCAGAGGCTGAGGCTAGTGATCACGTCGAGCCCTCGTCCCAAGTCTCGACTCAGGTGCACTGACAGTGTGAGAGACCAAAGCACGTTAAGCTAGGGACAGAAGAAGCTCTAGGGTTTATGGCAAGAAGAATGGCTGCACTGTATCGCATGTTTTAAAATTCCAGGGAAGATTCACCACAGCGCTGATGATGCTTTTCTCCGAATTTAAAACACTTCTGTCTCCTTGCACACGGCCTACGGACGACGAATGGCAAGCCAGTCCAAGGTCGCCACTCCCCCACCCTCGCGAACAACTTGCTTTAACCGTACGTGGGATTCTCCCTCGGGCACCGTTCAACCCTGGTCACTACATTACACTCCACCACAACTTACTGGCACCCGTGTCGCGTAGTTCGCATCATGCACGTAACTGCCTAAATGTTACGTCGTAAAGGTGGCTCCTCCGCCGTCTCAGATTTGCTGCTACAGCAAGTAACGATAGATCCTACGTCGATGAATGCACGAACTCTCATGCACTCCATGCCGAGTGGCGAAATCGGCACGTCGTCTCAATTTTGAATCTAGGTCGCCACGGAATCAAGAGGCGACGATTCACAGCAAGGACAGGGTGGTAGAGCTCAGCGAACTGTACCATTCGATATCCTGCAAAGCAAACCCACCTACGGAGGCGAGAAGCTGCATTCAATCTACTCACCTATTATCGCGCAGATTTATATCCCGTTTCCTCAATTCCCCGTTCCCCATTGCTAATCATCCGAAATTAATCAATCCCTTATGCCACTGCAATTGAATCGGAAACGTGGAGAACGAACATCGCTCTCGACATTTATTCTGTTGTTTCAGCGTCCTCTCCGCCCATCCGCGAAGGCCCATCACATCACGAACTGCTCGTGCTCAGTCGTGCGGCCCCTCCCCTTCCCTTCCCCTCAAAGAATCTATCGGAGTCAAACCCACTTCCCTCTTTCGGGCTTCTCTCAACAGCTCAACAATGTACCGTCAGGAACGGAAGGGAGCGCGATAAGTACAATGTCGAACTGAAGAAAAGCGAACGGGGCAACCGAAAGAGATTCGTACCAGTAATCAATCAGTCCAGAGAGTGTGATCGAGGTCGAACACGCCGGGGGCAGGCAGATGGGAAGTGGCGCTCGAGAGGCGCAAGGCCTCCCTCCGATCGAACATTCATGTCGCCCTGGAAAGTGGACAAACAGGCCCCCCACTCCGACTGTCCTCGACCAAGTGTACTCACTCCCCTGAGCTTCGGGGCCCAATGCAATGGCGCTTTCAAGCAAGAGCTCCGACGTCCGCACCTCGTGGCACAAGCGAGGAGGCCGATTGGGCCTTCATGGGGCCGATCGGAAAGAAGACATGTCTGGCAATGGAGCAAATCTCTTCCAGATTTAAGCGCTCGCTACTTGCCTCGACTGCACCGATCTGACGGTCGGCGTTGCTCCCCACCGAATGCTCACAGCTACGGGAACCGGCCCAGTACGTCGTCGCCTGCAATGGGGCCGGTGATTCTTCTATGGCAACCTGCTGGGGTCGAAGGAGCCCCGGGAAAATTCGCCGCATTATGTCAGCAGTTCATGCCACTTCATGGAACCGGGACAGCGGCGGAGCTGGCCCTCGCCACCCTAAAGTGGCGGGACTCCACCTCCACCTGCACCTCCACTCGGCGGAGATTATCGATTCCTGAGTCCGCCTCTAGCGATCACGCCCGTAAGTCAGCGCGGGTTCGTGTCCCCCGGAATTCGCGCGCCGGAACTTTACAGGCCCATGTTAGCCCGAGGCCCGGATTTCCCGGACCCGGAACTCGGCCAGCAAGCTCTGACCTGTTTCGGTTCTTTGTTTCGTTTCGCGGGTGGGGGCCAACCCGAAGCCCTGCCCGAATTCCGAGGTGGGATGTACGACCTCGCCCCGAGATCATCTACAGCTTCCGAAGAAAATATGAGAAAGAAGTCGAGAATCAACTTTAGCGTGTCGAGGATGAGATCTACACGTTTTGTTCTCGGAGGCGCAGCCCGAAAAGAAGATAGTACAGAGCGCGCACACATTTATTTTCGCTCGTTGGTGGGCTACACTCACAGCTTCTCGTGTTTTGCTTCCAACCCTGAGTTAGAAACTGGAGGTTAGGATTTACCTTTTGATTTTATGTGTCTTACAGCTAAAAAGAAAAAAAGAAACATTCTCCTCTGAAATTTTCGAGACATTAAGACTTTTCGAGCCCAAATGGGCTCAAAAGTCTTATATCCAGTTAGATAAAAATTTTAAGCAAAGCTAACAAACTGGAGATAGTTTGAAAGCTTCAGATTAGAAGACTCGAAAACCCTACAAGAGTCCCCCGGTATTTTTGGACTGAAAGAAGTGCCTGGCTTTACTTATGATAGAGAGGTAGAATAAAGTTTTTCCACAGCAAATTCAAACTGATGGGAGAAATATGCACATTTCAAATTTTAGAACATCTACATTGCTAAAGAGTCAGAACTATGTGATATTCTCGTAAACTAATACGTTATATCTTTTCATCATTAAAATCTTTACCCATGACAGAATGTCCAAATCCAGTAGAAACTAACCATACTACATGAGATCGTTCTCAAAATATGGATGTGGAAGATCTCCGATTCCCATCGTCTATCTGTCCACAGAAATCTAGGACTTTGAGAATGGTGACTGTGAGGCTGCGACGAGCAGTTCAACGCAATTGGCGTCCACGGTACGGGAGGGCGACCACGACCGATCGATGCGAATGTGGCGAAGAGCAAGTGGAACGACGTTGGCCGATGTTGAACTTTGGTACTGTTGAGTGGAGGGCCGGGGGAAGGAAAGGCCGGAGCTTCCGCTGTACGGTGCTGGTAGTGAGCTCACTACAGTAGCTAGAAATGAGAAGGGTAACAACTGACCGCTTTGAACGGTGTCCGAGGGAAGTTCGTACGTACGGTAAAGCGAGTTTGTTAGCCAGTGTGGGTTATAGGGACTGGCGGTAGGGTTGGAGTCACAACCAAAAAGTGTTTTGTACAAGGGGCATTTCCGTATGTATATACATATAAATTATAAATGTAACTCTGAAATATAAGTATATTCTAAAATTATAAACAGTGGAATAAATGAACAAATAGAACTCTTCAAAATTGATTGTGGTTTGGTTGCCTCCGCGGGTAGACAAAGTCTTTGACAAATTTTAAAAACTAAATCTATCTAACAAAATTGTGTGAAGTTTTATTCTACCTAAATCATAGATTTTTGGATGCGAATTGCGTTTAACTACGATTCTTTTTCTTCCAGATGAGTAATGTGGTTAGAAAACTTGGGAGTGCAATTACGAGATGTCAAGAAGCGGGTTGTTTGATAATTGGTGCTTCTTAGTTGGACGTGCTTGTGAACTATCTTCCGGAATGAGGCATACATAAAGAGCACATTGGTAACGTGCTGATTAGAAGACCATTACTGTTTGACAACGATGTGGAGAAAGATATGTTGCTTGCAAGCAATCATTTGAAAAATCTGCACGCAATTCTAGATGACATTGACAAGATTCTCAATTGTTTTGCTAAATGTTGACTAGGCGGATGAGTTGCTCATCAGATGTACATGGTTTCTATTTTTTTCGCTAAGTTCTTTTATGTGCATTCCTTATTCGTGAAATACATTCTATGTATATTTTTGTATCTGAAATATTCCAAAATATACAAACTTTTGGAGTATGTTCATAGAAACTCTTTTGTATGGCTGATTCAACTACCATGACAAATTTGTTAGCACTAATGATTTCTAACTCATGTCATATCTTATATTCCAATCTATATTTGTATTTCATTCCAAAAAAGATACAACTTGAGTTTCCAATAATACTAGATAGACAAAACTATGGAGAAAGTTGAGTGATAAATGGATTCTGGTAACTTGTAATCTGTTCATGCCCCTGTCTGCACATACTACAAATGTTTCTTCACAAAACAAAGCTTACATGGAACTTTAAAACATGCTCAAAGTATGTTAATGTTACTTAACTTGGCAATCTCTGTACTCTCCATAGTTAGACTCCAGAAAGATATGAAAGGAGTAAGTCATCAGAGAGCGTTGATAACGTTGGTAGACGAGTGTCCAATGTTCCTTGATGGAAGGTAATCTAGGTTGCACTGTTATAGTTGATACTAATGAAATTTAATAGAAAATAAACAAAGAACTTCAAATTCTAAGCAATGTAGCATCTGAGATAAATTGTTCTCGTGTTCATCAGATGTACATGGTTTCTATATTTCTACACTAAATTCTTCTATGTGCATTTCTTATTCGTGAACTACATTCTATGTATTGTAGGAAGTCTCATATGGCTGCTGAAATTATTTTGATGTACTCTCTTGAAGCGTTTTAATCCAAGCATGAATAAGCAAATGAATCTTTTTGGGGGTTTGTTTGTATAGCAAGTATCTATGTTCATGTCTATTTTGAATATTTTAGGAGTAACATCCTGTGATAAAAGTTATGAAAACTTTCGTAGAATATTCTCATCTTTCAGTGTTTGGTCACATGGTAGTTATATTTAAAACTTCTTAGAAATTTGCAGCTGTTTAGATCTTGTGAAAGTAAATATCACTTTTAAAATTGGATTTATTATCTAGATTAACTTTATTATATTGTTTTTCTTACATACTTGGCTGGAAAACAAATTGATCAAATCAATCCAAACAAAAAATTTATCTCGTACGTATCATATTTAACATTCTTCATTCACTTTGTTTTTGTCAGTGGCATAAAGTCACGAAGAATTAATATTACTGTTTTGCAACATTTGAAATGTGGAATTACTGATGATTTTGTATCTGAATTCAAACTTGATGTTTCTCGCATAAAAGAACTGGCGTTGTAATAGGTCCTGCATCCATGTAGCTGCTAGGTCCAAGAGATGGCTAATTAATTCAACCCTTCATGTTCGAAGGTAAAAAATGCTTAGAACAAGTAACATTCATAATGGAATACCAATGTTTGCTGCAATCAAATTTCAGATCTGAAGGTCAAAGTCTGCAAAAGGTCAAAGGATGCAAAAGGCAACAAAGTAATTTACCTATAGATTAAATTTTTCTTGTATGACTCTCCTAGTTAACCAAGTGCATGTGTACAGTTTCTTATGATTGATTTTAATGTAATCTTTTGAGTTTTGAATTTTGGGTTTTGAATCTTTTGAGCAAATCTTTTGAGTGTGAAGTTGCAACAGAAGGTTTTTACATAAATTTAAAGATCATTGAAACTAATTGTGGAATTTGTTGGGTACAGGACTAAGCATTGTTCAACAAGTTCCAAAATAAACTCTTGTACTCCATCATTGATTGTGGATTCATTGTTACTCAAAGTGGAAGCGGAGGGTTTGTTCCCGTGGAAAGTGCTAGGACTTGCCGTGCCGGAGTGCAATGGGTCGACCAGAACTAGTTCATGGGCCTGCTGGATCAGCGATTGACACCGCCCAGGTAAGTATAATTTTGAGTTCTCGATCAAGAACTTTCTAGGGCCGTTGTGATAGGCTTTGCTTGCCACTTTTCTTGCTTTATTGCAAGGTTTCACTGTCTCGGGATTTTACATGCAGTCGATAGGAATATATGGAGGAGGAATATATAACAACATCAAATCCAAACATTATAGGTCGTAAGTAGCACTTCCGGTTTAGATATAATATTCCTTACCAAATGGCGATATCTGCCATCGAGCGGCGGAGCAGCAACAATCTCATCATCATCACAGCCGACGTTCAAACATGAAACATAAATATCACAGGGATGGAAAAACGCAGATGAGATAATAAATCCAACATGGCATTGTTTTTATCATTCAATTAAGAAGGAGAGTGAAAATTGCTATCGTGCAATGTGTGAACATTGTATGGAGGTGTTTGATGGCAAGCTTGGCAAGTTGGAATATCATGTCTTGCATCGATGTACTTTGAATTCTAAAAGTAGAAATGAATATATGCGTATCTTAGAGAGATTTTCAAAAAGACAAAGGACGTCAATGCAATCATCAAGGTTGGAGTCACATGAATTTTTTTTGTCGCAGAACCAACAACAATGTTTGTCCAAGATTTACAATCCGCCAATGAATGCAGTAGTACAGGAAAATCATCATTTGAGATTTTTAGACTTCTTGATCTCCTTTAACAGTGCATTCAATGGGTGTTTCAACGAGTAACTTGGAGTGTTCATAAGTGATTTCAATACTAGCTACATTGTTTCTTCAAGAAAAGTAATTGCTGATCTGCAAC